TCTGTGGTGACACTACACTGCTGTAGGATAAGCTACTGGAGTGGTGTGATGGCTCAACAGTGAGGCTGAAGCACAAGGCCAGTCTCATATAAGAGGGATGCAGGGGCCGAGCCACCAAGACTGCAGTGGGAGCACGACTGGGTCAGTTCGGATCAGTCAGAAGACAGAAAGAGCATCTGGAAATAAAAGAAACCTTTTCCTGACAGAAAAAAGCAAGAAACCAAAGCCAGCCCATTGGGCGACGGTGCTGAATCAGTACAAACACACGGATCTAGACCTTGCTTGTGCAGGCTCCTGCCGGACTAGGCCTTGCTCCCAATTCACCTGGGGAGGCATGCTCCAGGCCTACAGTGCTGGCAGGGTCAGGCCAGCAGAACCTCACGCTTTGTGAAATAAAACTTCAAAAACTAGAAAACAAACAAAAAAAGAAACCAGGGAAGGAAAAAGCAAATTCCATTGGGTAAGCGGTAGTTCTGCCTGGCCGAGGCTGCAGACTGGCTGGTCTGTCCTGAACACTAATCTCCATGTCTTGTACCCATGTGAGCCTTTCACTCCAGCCCCTCTCCCACGCATTCCAGGCAGAGTGCACTGAAAGATGTGACTGAAGCAGCTGCTCTCCCCCGGGGGAGTCAAGCATTTTGCCACATCTGAAAGTCTCTAGCACTTACTTCCTTTACCGTGATTGTAAAGGTCACCACATGCAGTATGGCCACTTCATCTGGGATCTTTTCTTAACACATTTTTATGCTGACTTTACTATTTTAATTCTTTGTTTGGAATGTATTTTTTTTTCTCATTTCTTCTGTGTGTAACAGCAATTAAAAATATTAATTTACTGGGTATTTTTACTGTGCAGATACAATGTCTCCTTGTTCATTTTCTGTTTCTGTGACAGTTTCAGCATGGAGTACGTAGCCAACGGAACCTCTGCAGCAGGCAGTTTTCTGCCACTGTTATGCCCATCAGTCGTGTAGCTCTGCCCTGGAGCTACCCAGCGCCCCACTGAAGCAGACTGACACTGTCACAGCTGGCTACAGTATTCCTGTCTGGGGAACCCTGAAACAGAGCCACGGGCACCCCACAGAGCACATCCAACATAAACTTACCAGGCACCACTGCAGTGATGGCGCCTGGCCCATGTTACAACACGTCCCGGGTGCCCTGGGATGCAGAGTCCTGAACCACGCTTGCCCCTTGCTGCTACAGCCAGTCCCACGTACAACGACTATTTGTCCACACTTTCAGGGAGAAGGCAGCTTGCTGCAAAGGATTGCTCTGGGAAAGTTGTTCGCTGCCCAGAAATCCCAGACAAATGGCCAGGTCTCTCTTCCCCCCTGCCCCAGCAAAAATTTCCAGGAGGAAAAAGTAGGGTAGTATGGACATTTTTCTCTGATTGGGGATCTAATGCCAGTTTCTTCAGCTGTTTGATGCAGTGGCACAGATATTTGGTTTCCTGAACCAGGCCATCTGTCACCAGTGGAACAGGTTTCAAGGATTTATAGCATAGAAACACAGAGTGTGTAACTGCTCCCAGTCAATTAAATGGATCCGCCCACAGGCTTAACACAGACTTCTTCATACTCCTTTTCTGAAGTGGAGTGATTCCTGATGTGAGAATGAATCAGTACCAGGCAGAAATACTACCAAGTTATTTTTAAAGCAGCTTGAAGGGGTTAACGGCAGGCAAAAGCGGGTGCTTCTTTTCTCTTTCTTTAATTTGGTCCTTCAGAATTCCTTTAAAAACTTAGAGGCCCGCTAGGAGGAGCATCCTGTTTCCTCACACCTCCTTCCTAGCTCCAGATGGAACAAGGGTAGCAAAATATTCTCAGACTGAGCATGTGTTTGGCTACTTTTATTCCACAGCTGGCGCCTGGAAGTACTCACTCTAACTTAAAAGAGCCAGCACCAATGTATATATATGTGTATTTATCTATCTGTCAATCTGTTGATCCTTCAATTATTCAGATATTCTGTAATTCCTTATCTAGTCTTGACCACCAGCAGGGAAGTTCCTGGACCCTTCTGGATCTCAAGTTTTACCTTCTACAGCCAGCTCCTTCACAAAGTGACTCGCTGCAGACTGTATTTACTTCCTTGGTATTGCAAGGATTTAAGTGCTTCAGATTTATGGCTTACTCTGTTTATATACAGTCTGACATAATGAAGTCTGACATCATGGAGGTCCTGCTGGGCTATCTGGGGACATGGAGACAGAACCCAAGTCTCCTCTTGAACTTAGAAACAGAATTCTCACTGACCAGTGCGGAAGCAAACTGATATCTAGAAAAGAGAACTGCAATCTTTGGCTTCTTTATTACCATTAAGATACATTAGCAGATGGTATTAGAAACATCACCTTTAACATTCACCCTGCTGTTTCCCTTCCTTCCAGAGGGAAGGAAGACGGAAACATCAGAAGCATCCCTCCTGAGCAGAAGCCCCACTCTACCACCTGGTTTAACCAACCATTACAGAAGCCAAGGGCAGTTGCATTTTGAGCCACCTAAAGACAAACTACACAGCCACAGCAACGCTGTTGTGCATGCTGGACCAGCCAGAGCTAGTTCCACTAATTACATCTTTGTTTTGACTTCCGCAAAGTTTCTGTCACTGTGTCCAGGAGGCTTTATCTTTTTCTTAAGAAAAAAAAAATAAAAAAGGAGTAAGTGCAATAATTACTGCAACCAACCCTACATTTTGAGTGCAAGTCTCACAATGTTCTGGCTAAAAAGCTTTATAAAGCTTTCCACTGTATAAAGGATAATGTTATCTGGTCACAGTTTTCATAGGAAGTGAACAGTTTGAAGTTGAGTTCTCATTTTCATTCTCATTTCCCTTTGTTGAGTTCATCACTGTTCCAAATAATTCACTTTGGGTCTAACAGGCTTTGTGTTCTCTGCAACCTGCCGCCTCCCAGCCTAAGAAAAATGATACTCGCCCCTTCTGTGCTACAACTGCAGGGAAAATGCTGCTGTGTGTCACAGAGGTGGAGTAATGCCCTATTTGATTTTGCAAATATTAAGAAAAAGGCTAGAACTGAAAACAGAAGCAGAAGAATGCAAGCATCCTTCCATAAAGGGGAGAGACAAAAAAGCATATGTTAAGAGGAGCGGAGGCAGGTATTTGAGAAACATTGCTCCCATGCAATTGGCATAGAAATCAGCAACTGAGACTCCTGCACAGCTATTTGCTCATCACTCCTTACTCCTTTTACCCTTCAACTGTCTGTCACTAGGTAAAGACCATTGAAAGTCTCTAAAAAAGTCCCTAAAGAAAGTCTTTGAAGTCCTGAAGGAAGAGTCTTTGAAGCTCTGAAGGAGCTCCCGGCCTAACAAAGAGAGCTTTCACAGGAGGTACAACGTTCTCCGGCCTACAGCACCTGACTCCAGGCAGTAACTACCCCTATTCCAGAACTAAAATCAGCAAAAATACAGTTCCTGAGGTCTAAAATAAACCTGCAGTTAAGCTCAATTTGAAGTTAATTCCTTATCTCCTAACGTCAGTTTTACAGTCTCTTATTCCAACTCCGCTTTCCCACCTGGAAACTGGAAATAGCCCCAACAGCAGAGACCCTCCTGAGAGACTGCCTAGGCAAGGTAAGGAGGAGCCTGCGGAGGCTTCAGAATTAGGCTCCCATTAAGGAATCTGAATATAAATTAGTACCCACCCACACAGTGGTTTTGCAAGCCTTGTTCCTTAGACAGCTCTGCTTGTAAACAGGTTGCTTTGCATAACTTTGAAGAGGTATGTTCCTATTGCAACAGTCCTTACCTCAACAAGCTCTGTGTGGGAAGGCAGAAGGTAAGTCCTACCCAGCAATCAGATCTCTGAGGGGATGGAAAGCTGTTCTTGTGGCCCTCAGGCCTGCTTGCCCTCCCCGAACCTAGCTGAGCAGTGCTGCCAGGGCTCCTCTTGCATCAGCCTGGCTGGCAGTGATGCCAGGCCAGGAAAAGCTCCCACTGATTTTAGGGACTAGGAAACTGTCCTCCAGCTGTGGCTTGAAACTGTGGCTTCAGGGAGAAGTGTATTAGGCAGTGCGGGAAGTGGGAGACCCAGTAACACCATGAATTCTTAAAAACTGGTAAAGAACCGCTTACAGTCTTTTAGGTGGGCACTGGCTGGCTTCAGTGAAAGAAGCGTTGCATGTATCCTACACACAAAGACAGAGGAGTTTGCTTGAAAATCAGAGCAGGAAACCCAGCGTGCACATCCTTTCCCTCCACTGACCCACACTGAGCTACTTCCACATTAGCAGAGAGAACCAAACCCTGGGGGGAGCTCAGCAGCTGTCAGCGGGCTGTCCAGAAGCAATGATCACAGACAAAAATAACCTTAAAAGATCTTTCCAAATATAGTCCCTCGTTATTGGTGCTGTATCAGTTTCATTTCAAGCTGTGCCTGGCAGTGTCTGTGTCTTGTTCCCTTTAAGAGAACACTCACAGGTCTTGAGGCACCAGGGCCTTTCTCTTGAAAGGGAGAATGGGGGAAACATACTTCACTGTCATGGCAGACAAAAGGATGGAGAATTCTTGCTCTCAAATGTTTAACCTTGAAGGCTCCCTAGTTAATCAATCATAAGCAGGGTGAGCTTACCAGGGGCTGATGAAACTCACAGGACAGCTGTTTCAAGGTACTGGTGTACATATTGTAAGACCACTCTGCAAGCTCTAAGTTTGAGCATGGTGACATGGGGAAACCACATGTGGGTCATGGGTTACTGTTCGTAAAACTTCACTCCATGGTCCTGGAAGTGTTCAGTCTCCCAGGACCAATTTGAGCCAGTTAGAACCAAGCTGTGTATTACAACCTGAATTAAAGCTTCACTGGGTACTTCCAGCATGAAAAAAAACAGAGAGAGGGCAATATGAAATGTCTGGTTTTCTTCCTTTTTGTGTCTTGGAAATTTTTACTAGCTTTCATACAATGCTGGCAAAATCCTGCCATTTCACAATGGAAGAAAACAGATCCACCCAGTGCAGTGTCTGTGGTATCTGCAAAAAAAGCACAAAACTGTTGGCAGAAAGCTCCTCCAAGCAGTCAACTGGTGCAAAGTATGCCACTGGTGCAGGGCAAGCCTGGTTAGGGAAGAGAAATAGCCATATTTGCTTTTGAGCCATCTAGGGAATTCATTAGACCTGCTAACCAAAATAAGCCATTTTAAGGGACCCACTACTACCTTCAAGCAACTGAAGGCAAATCTCAGTGACTTCAGAGAAAGACAAAATCAGAGTTAAGCTGCTTTTGGATATGAAGGTAAGTTCTTACAATGTGGCCCTTGCAGCTCCAGCTGCAAACTGAGCAATCTCTTCCTCTGTGGGACAAGGATGGGAGCCAAACTGGACTAGAGAAGTGTGATCCTCAGTGCCAGTCCCAGTAAGTGCACTTGCCCTGGAAAATTGCAGGGTGTAAACCATACTTGGAGACATTAAATCTATGGTTATTCAACCTGTAGGGAATCATCCCCAACAAATAACAGTGGCTGCAAACTGACTTACCACAGATGATCAGCTTGCAGCTGCAAGTTGTAGGGATCATAAGCAGACAGATGCTACTTGTTAGCAGAAGCACAACTTAGACTTGGATGTGATAATAATATTACCCTTGTACAGGGTCACTGTTGGGTGGGGGTTGTTGGTGAAAGCACAGCTCATGGTGCAGTCATTGCCATTACTCATGCTGTGGTCCTTCAGTGGGGCGATGAAATAGGAAGCACAGTCCTTCCTGGGATGCTCCTTCATCTTGAAGTCAAAACACTCTGCTGAGGACAGAGTGACTATGGACTGCTTCACAGTGCACTGTCTGTTGCAAATACAAACATGCAAAGACAGAGCCAGCACCATCAAGACAGAGTCTTCTCCTGCACAAGCACAAATCCAACGAGCTTGGGTATGACATTTCATGACCTGAGCCAGGGAAAACTTGGGGAGGAGGAAAAATGAACAATACACCATGTTACCCTCATCATCTGACCAGCATACCTATCTCACATGTAAACAAATGCAAACTGAAAAGCAAGAGAGGAAGGCATCAGAAATCTCATTCTCCCAATAATCTTCTATGCAACTGTAAGCAAACAATTAATTTCTTTGTTTCTTGATCTGTAAATAAGGTGTCAGGTTTTTGCTCCATGGGGATATATCGATGCCTTCTCTCACTAATGCTGTTAAACTGTAAAGTGCTTTTGGATATTTAGCTCCCAAGGCACTTTAGAAATGCATGATTAAATTACAACCAATTATAAACCAAAGCAGGTGATCTTGTAAAGAAAGGTATATTGCTTTGCTGGCACTGCTCTGAGGCACTAATAGTCTACAGAATGCTCTGGGGGAATCAAGGGGAACTGCATGTGCAATTTAATTTCCATTGTCCACTGTAAGTCTTCCATTTTCAGCCTGTATTTATACACATTTCTTGAAGTCTTTATTATCTCCTTTTGCATTAGCATGGGGTCCCATCAGGCAAATTCCCTGGGTCCTAAAAGTAACACTGTATGGCAAAATTGTCCTATGAGATGACACTCTCAGAAAACAGCTGTATCTCCTCCTTATCCTTAAGAGTTTTTCTACCATCGCTCAGGTTTGCACAAATAACTTTGTGACTTACCATTTATAATGAAGAATAAGAAAACAGTTCACATCTGCTGGTGTCCTGTTGTCCTGCCTGAAGACAGGCAGGCTGTTATCAAAGGAATGTACTTGCAAGGCACAACCAACCTAGCTTTTCCTCCATTTACTACTTTTTTATACTACTCACCTACATACACAGAAGTTACTGTAGTTATTTTAGACTCCGTAAGATCCAGGCCTAGAGTATTTCCATACAAGAATACAACTACAGCCACATAACTGAAAGTGCTCTTTCTCAGCTGCACGTATAACTGAAGTAACATACCTATGGTCTAGTTAAATTGATCAAGGAAGGCTGATTGTTAAATACAAATATGCAGTGTGACACTTGATTACTCATTTTAGTGCATCATGCTCTTATTTTAATGTATTGTTCATTCCTCATAATGGGATTAGAAGACTTGTAGCAGCATGTGGATAGGCTTCTGAAGAAATATATGCATAGTCTGGTAATATATGTTAATATAGATTTTGTTTTATATTACTATATTGTTTATTACAACAGGCATAGGCCAAAGCAAAAAAAAAAAAAAATTGGCTTGTATCTCACTATTTAGAGTAACTGTATTCTGCTTTGCCCCAGACTGGGCAGAAGAATCACTTACTATTTTGATTTGATGAGCTGGGGCACATTCAGTTTTGTTTGGGAGGAACTGCTAATGAGATATTGTTATTACTGATTAGGTCTGAGCAGGGAGCAACTGAACAAAAGAGAAGGTGTTTACCTGATGGGATGACTTCCGAGTGTTTAATTTCATGTGGTTTTAGGGACAACTTAATAGCTTCTGGCCCAGAAAAACTGTCACACAGTCTCCTACATGTGACAGAATTTTTGCTTTTCATTTAGGAAACAAAACCCAGTCAGACTGGAAACATGCTACAAGAAAAATGACTTGTAAACACCAATCTTTTGTTACATCAAGACACGATAATATCACCCTCCCTGTGCATGGATGGCCCCTACTGTCTTGAATTTTAATTTAAAGAGCATCTGTATGAACTGCTATGTAATGTGCTACACATATATGTAGTAAAAAGAAGCCTGGTCCTGAAGAGATTGCCATCAAAGGCATGGGGTAGGACAGAAGGTATTCTTGTGTCTATTCCCCAGGTGGGGACCTGAGGTGCCAAACAGGTTAGTGATATACCCAAGGCCACAGAGGGAGCCTAACCTTAGTCCACAGTTTTGCATACCAGAGCACCCATCTTCCTCCAGCGGCATCACAAGTTTTTGTGCTTACCTCTGTCTTTGGAGATGTACTGCTGCTCCTGTGAATCCAGAGGGTCAGTGTCCCCAGTGTCATTGCAGGCAATGACTCAGAAGTATTTCCTCCCTGGGAGCGGGCCTGTGACAGTGTACTTATTGCTGTAGACATTCTCTATGGCTCTGAACGACGTGGCGGTACTGACATCACATTTCAGGACACCATAATAAGTCTAGTAGTTGTCTTCTACATTTGAGCTGTCATTTAGGGTCACAGTGTTTGGGACTTCCTCAACCAGTTTCAGATTAGTGGGTTGTCCGGAGAAATCTAAGAATTAATGAGCACATTTAAGTATTGTTTGGGACCCTCCCTCTGTCCTTTACTGGGGCAAAATTTTTCACCTCAGCTCCTCCCTCGTAAAGTCCCTATGTGTCTAGGAAAGTACTTCTTTCCTTGATTTTTTTCTACCCTGAGGAACCTGAGAACCAATTTGCTCTGTGTGTGTAATTCCCTTCTGATGAAAAAATAGTTTTAAACTGTTAGTGCGGTTAGTTTTAAACAGCACTCTCTGAAGAGATGACAAGTACAACATACACTGCAGAGGGCCCTAACCCCCAGCAGATCATTATAGTAATAGGAGTCTCTCTAGGAAGCAAGGCAGCCTGCTTCCACTTGGCTGTCATAGACCCACTTGCAACAGAAATGATGTCACCAGACTGCTGAGGGGACACTGTTGTGTTAGTGCTGTTATGGGGATTTGCCTAATCAAATAATGGCATGAAAAACAAGGCAGCATTTGGGGATGTCTGGAGCAGTAACAGCTTCACCCTTTCCCTCCACTTTGGATGGAGTGAGCGATGCCCCAGCAATACCTTCCTTATCCCTCAGCTCTGAGCCATGCTGCTCCCCTGCTTGGCTCAGCTAACTGTCTCTGAGCTTGCACAAAGGTGTGACTTCGGAAACACAGTGACAAGAGGTAGGAAAATCCTTTCTGACCAGGGAGTCTTTTGCCTCTTGAGTGGAAACATTACAGTTTGGATCACTCCTATGGCATTTTTTGGATAAGGGGTATGTATGATTTGGATTGTTTGTCTTTTTTCAAGGAAAAAAAAGAACCTTCCCAACTCTAGTATTGATGCAGAAATTGTGTGAAATTTCCATCAGCAGAGGAATAGTCCCTGTCGATACCCAAAGGTGACCGAGGTGCTCAAGTTTGCTCTCTACTGTCCCTGCAAATTGCATTTGAATGTTGTAAAGGGCTTCTCCATAACTATTTTTGAGGATGATCTGGTACAGGTCAGAAACAAATCACTTGGTGCTGTGGATAAGGCCTGGGAATGGTTCTTGCCATCCCTCTTGTTGATATGCCTTCTTTTTGCCACGTCACTGGTGTTGGTGGGGAGCCCTGGCCAAGAGAAACGTGCAGCTATACTGTTCTGCTTCCTGACCTGGGTGGCAATAGAAGCAAACCACATATTTGAGAACAGAAGGGATATCTGTGTCTACAGGAGCCACTTGTACATGATCAGCCTGATAGAAAAGTATTTCAAGGACAGCAATCTCAGAGATTTCTACAAGCTGTAAAGGCAATGGCAGGCTTTGTCCTCAGCAAAGTGCACAGAACTTGCTTGGCTTGGGAGATGCCACATAAACCTTATGCTACAGTTCATTAGTTTGGCCATCTTGAAAGCTGAGGGAAAACAGCTGGTGTGATACAGATAAACTTGTACAATTTAGACCGAGAGATACATTCTTAGGCTGGGGCTGATTCTGCAAGGTACTGTAGAGCCTCAGTTCGTGCAGAAGTCTAGTCTTAAAAAAAAGGAAAGCACAGAAGTTGCCCTTAGCCTCTACAGAAATGAGCTTAACATCCATGTTAATAGAAATTGTACCTCAGAAAGGACAGCGTTGGGACCTCAAGCGTTGTCTTTACAACCTGTTCACTCCCCTGGGTCACTCAAGGCTTAATCAAGAATGATTTCACGTCAGTTAGTGTGAACTGTAGTTGCATGCTTGAAAAATTCTGCTTCTTGTGATGAATCAGAGAGCTTCCCCAATGTTTTATGGTTTGCTGAACACTGTTGCTCCAGCTGCAGACGGCTGGATTGCGCAGCTGACAAACTTGCGTGTGCAGATGCCCCTCTACCCTAGCCACCACAGGGAGGCTTGTAAAAAGACTAACCATAAAAATAGTGAGCTGTTATGCAGGACTTCATGAACCTGAAGCACCACATGAGTTTTCTCAAATAGTCAACTTCTTTGAAACCCAAGTGACAGCTCATGTGATAAAGGCCAAAGGACAGCTACAGCCTCCATAGCCCTGCCAGCTGCATTTCACCAGATGTCCAAGAAAACTCTAATTGCAGGATTTCTCCTGTAACAGGGAAAGATGTATGAATGCATGGTGCTGTCCCAGCACAAACCACCATGTGGCTCTTCAGCCTCACAGTCAGATCAAATCTATGGGAGGGATAAAAGAAAAACAGAGGGAGAGAAAATTAAAAATTAAGAGTGAGAGATGGAACAGAAAAATAAAGCCATTCTTCAGTCTGTTGAGTCATGCCTGGAGAAGTGAATGACAGACTGGAAGAAGAAACCTCCAAACTGTTTCAGCAGAAGACAGCTAGTGTACAGGTTGCAATGTTGCCAGCTCTTTTCCTAATACCTGTACCACCACAAAAGAAACATTAATGCCTTCAACAGCTTAGTGATGATCATCTATTCAGGACAATTTCAGGTAAGGAAGGTGGGACAGAAACATTTAAAAATAGTTCATGTAAAATGTGAATGAGAACAAAGAAAAAGAAGAGGCAGCTTTAATGCCTCATTAGATGATTTTACTGTCCACCTTCTGCCACAACCAATTTTGTATATTGTCTGTTTCTTATAGGACTTCTCATACTCTTCAGTATGGTACTGCAGGTTGCTATTTGACACCAAAGAAGTTTGTCTGGAGCCTGCAGTCTCTTTGAGATATTTGGGGGTTTCTCTATTTGGAGATGCGGTCACAAAGCTGTGCTGTACGGACTAATTGTGTAGTTCCAAAAAGGGAAACAAACATTTATTGTATTGGTCACCTGGATGTTGTCTTCTGAGACTTCCTCAGTCAAGCCTAAATGTCCCTCTATAGGAATCAGTGCTATATAATGTGACTCTTCATGCATCTAATGACATCACTCTAATCATGCACCTTTTCTTGCTAGTATTACTGCTACTGAGGGCAGTCAGCACCATGCTTTTTTACCTGGGAGTATCTTAGACATAAAAAGTTTGAATTTCCTAATTAATAATTAAGCAACTGTAAGTCCTAACCAATAAAGATTCAAATACTTTGCTACCTCAAATAGTAAACTATCTAGGGATTTCATGGCAGGTCATGATATTTCCATTCTCAAAACATAATTAGTGTCTTTGGAGCATGACGTCCAATAATATTATTTCAACTTTAGCATGCTGGCACCTGACTGTTCATCCCATTCCAACAAGCGCCCAAAAGAGTTATAAACCTGTCTCAGTACCACCATATTTACAAAAAAATGGGCATTTCAACATGATGGTTTACTAGCTGTAGTACCTACCCTCCTAACCCACAGTCAGACTACAGTATCCATGACAGGTAGTAGAGAATCTTCAACGTTTGAGATTTGATGTGAGAGGTCAGATGGTGGAAGAAACAACTGCCATTATACCTGACATACACATTCAGGGGACGGCTCAGCAAGAAGAATGGCAGAATTATTTTAATTTGACTCAAGGACTGCACAGCTTGTGCTATTGTCCATCTTTTCTCAGCACCTCTGAAAACTCAGCAAAAAGAAGCAGAGCTGTGATGCTAAACGTGCAAGATTCATTTGGTAACCCTTTACAAAATGAGGTATACTTTAAAAACAGAAGTAACAGATGATAGATGGGAGTTCCAGCTGGATGTATACTGCAGGTCTTACCTGAAGGTGGGATTGCTAGAATTCCTTCCTGTAACTCCACTGCTTCTCCCATACCAGCTTCATTCACAGCTTGGCTTCAGAGGTAGTATTTGTCTCTCCTGCAAGCTTCCCACGGTGTAAGTGGTACTAGAGATAGGGATCTTGGTGCGTTTTGTCCATTTCTTGATGTTCTCAGCTCACATGCCTAGTATGCGTCCTGACAGCACATCTTCCTGGTCTTGCTCCTGCCAGGCTAAGGAAATGCTGCAGTTGGAAAAATCCGCCACTTGCAGCAATCCTGGAGGCTCAGTGATAGCAGGAGAGCTGTGACACACTACTGTACCTGCAGGCCTATGTTTGCATATGTGAATATAGAGCTCCTCCTATTTCAAGATGCCAAACCTGCAAGGTTTTAGGATAAAAGGAGCTTTAATAAACACAGAGCAAATTCTGTCCAACAAAACAATGCAGTTCCTAAAATGGTGCATACATGTAGACCCTGTTCCCGGGCTGGCCATTTAAGGAAAATCCTCACAACATGTGACATGAGACCATCTGAATTCCGCTACGAAAGGGAACCTTCTTCTAACACTGTCCACCACTCATTCTCCACACATGTATCTGGGAGAGGTGTCTAGTATTAAAGATTTGCTTCTGTCTCTTCCTAGCTAACTGGTGAGCTCTGCAATACATTTCCTATAATCAGTTGTGTATGGCTTTGAGTGCCCGGTGTCTCTTCTTGTTTGATAAATCTCTCTTACAGTCCTGTGTAGAGTGGACAGGTGCTATCTGGACTGCTTGGATTAGTGAATTTGCATACTGGCTTGCAAGATCCTGATAATGTTCTTCAAGTTCAGTTGCCAAAGATTACAGTACCTCTAATTAACAGTCATTTTTGAAAATACAGATCTTGCTTTTTGCTCTTTAGTCCACCTTACAGCAGTCCAGTTAGATCTCCATAATATATAAGAAGAGCAGAAGATGGGACATTAAAAAATATCTGTATGTTTTTAATCAAATGAAATTATCAGCTAAAATGCAATGACCTCCCCCTGCCATCCCAACCCCTAAAAAGTCAACCCATGCAGCATGCCATGACAAACTTAATGCTAATGGCTTTTATACAGAACGCTCATATGAGCACACAGGGTCATCAGGAATACGGTATATATGGACAGTACATATTTTCCTAGTCCTAATGTGAAATAATGCAAGCTTTCAAATAGAAGAAGAATCATAGCTTCAGGCTTTAAACTGTTTTTGTGTTGTCTTCTGATGTAAAGGAACCTGAATGCTTTCCCATCTGAGTAACTATTTAACCTCAAGGCTCTTGTCTACTACATAGAATTCTCTTGTTTTTTAGCTATACTGGCTTCCACACTCAGCCAGTTTTTTTTTTTTTTTTTTTTTTTTCTAAATTATGTGCACCTATTAAGGCCCACTCCTGTATCTATTACAAAATTCCATCGATAGTTTAAGCTATTTATTGATGGCCTCTGACAGTTTTTAAAATGCTTTAGTTATATGGTCATATAGAGTAAGAATAACTGGCACAAAATAAAATCTGCTGATTTCAGCATTTCTGAGGCTACTGTAACCCCCTGGAGTTTGCCTGTGATTTTGATCAGTCCAGAATTAGGCACAGATTCTTCACTAGTAAAAATCCAGTATCAAAATAAAAGAATGTAAGAAACTTCCATGAATTCCGCAAGAGCTTTCTCTTCTTTTACAAGGGTTGATGGGGGACTGATGAAAGGAGCATAGTAACATGTATGAGAAATTATTTTGTTTGTCATACCTATACATGAACATTATCAACTTCTAGTGCTTAAGGTGGGAATCTCTTACTATGTCCTTATTTTAATGGTTCCACATTTTAAGTGAATAATATCACACTTTCAAGCATTTACAATGTAATTACATTTACAGCCAACAGTATTAGGGCCTTCCTTAATGTTTAGTTAAGCTGTAAACACAATGAAGTCCATTACATTGAGCCAGCCTGGAATTTGCCACAGTCCTTCAGACTTCTGTCATAAATGCATAAATCTGATCATCATATAGACGTTTAGGAAAACTAGACATTAAACAGTGGAAGAAACATAGTGATGGGATCCTTTGCAATGAGAGGTTGAGGGCATGCTGAGAAGTCCAAGGCCTGCATGGTTCACAGCTATCACATGGAACTCATTCTGTATCCACCAGAAAACCATCCATTTTGAATCTGGTACCTAGAGACATACATGTTGCAATTATACAACTGTCTAATCACCCATAAAAATGTTCTTAAGTGCTCACTGGTTTTGGTTGGGTTTTTTTTTTAATTGCTTTTGGATTGAGATAAACCAAGAAGACATTTCAGCTCACAAACTACTGGAGAACAATACAAATTTCAGGGGTTCAGGGAGCCCCTTAACTAGGTCTAACCTTCGCTTCTCCAGTGGTCTGCTTCATTTAAATATCTCTCTCTCTAAGGAGGAGATGGAATTTTGATGCATACAATAAAAGGCAAAATGCATAATTTGCTTTCCACTAGATTATGGTCTATAGCCTGGTATAATCATACATGCTGGGGAAAAATAGTTTCATGTCTTGCTGCACTGACTTCAGTGGGATTGCCCATGAGGTAACAAACTCAGAGTGGCCAAGCCTTTCACAACTTAGCCTTCAAACAAGGTTAAACTTCCATTCAGTCCTGAAAAAAACCCTCAGCAATTAAGTAATTTGCATTATTAAGTGTTTCCATTCTTTACCATGAGTAATAATGGTGCTTTAAAGAGGATATTATTGGATAGTGTGATTGATTGTAACTTAATGTGAAAGTCCAACATTTTGAATGAGACAGAGGAAAGAATCCAAGAAAGAACCAAAATATTAACAGAAAAGGAAAAGCAAAAGTCTCGTTAGTCAGATGCTGCTGTTGATAGGAACACTCCCATGTGTTATACAAGCTGTGCTAAGCATGGATCATATGGTTGCTATCTGATGGATACAACAAAATCAGTCACTTGTTTAATTCAGTTCTGGTCTAAGTCAAGGAAAAGCAGTCAAATTTAGGCAGGGAGAAATGTAAAATATAGGTGTTTGAAATTAGGCAGCCAAATCCATAGGTGTGACTTTCAGAGGTGCTGAGTGTTCTGCCCTCTCATCGTTGCTCGTGGGTATCAAGTGATTTCTATTTGAGGGCTGAAAAATCTCGCTTTGAACAGCGTATGTCAAAATGTGTATCTTGCTAGATGCCACGATGACATTTTCCTTGACTAATCAATACTCAGCTTTGCATTCAAAGCTTATCTAACTTTCTTTCTGCCTACATAAAACAGATAATAATCTTGGTCTGACCTTGGACTGGCTCCTTGGTGATTGGAACACAAAGATCGCTGCCTTTCTTCCTTTTTTTTTTTATGATGTAACCTTGCACTGGAGAGCGTCCATCCAGGGCTGGGAAGTTCCAGGTGATGGTGACATCTTCTTTCCTGACATCTACAACTTGAGGCTGAGACACCTGTCTCGAAGGCTCTACACAGAAGAAAATCAAATTAGCACAGTACAATCAGAATTCATTGACTCCAAGTTGTGTGTATGTGTTGTGCGTGTGTATAAATATATATGTATGTATCTACGGCAAGAAGTCAAGGATAGTAACTTGTATCTTAAGGTTTATTCATGTCCACAAACCTTTTTCTAAAGATTATTTCTTTGCCATCTACTTCCCTTTGTCATTTCAAATGTTGAAACATTTCAATTCTTGCACTTATTCCAAAAATGAGCTCTTTCTGCAATGCATTACAGAGCAGCTCAGGAATGCCTTCCCTAATCCACATGAAGTTTGGACAAAAATGGGAAGTTTTAGGTGAGAATCAATACATTTACTTCAATTTGGTAATTTTTTCTCTGAAATGTTTCAATAGGCCAGACTTGCTGTTTGCACTGCATCTTCTGATACATTCTGGCCTTGGGGAAAGGGGACTGCAAATCCCCTTTCATTGGGGATCCCAGTCCATAAAGGAAAAATGGGAACAGGAGGTTACCAACTATAACTCCCAGAAGATAGTTAAGCAGTGTTTTCTAACCAAGTTAGTTTTTGGCTGACATATTTTCTTTTTTGGCTACAAAACAAAATGTTTTTAAGCATTCCCTTTTAAACTATCTTCCCTCCTCCCCCACAATATTTTCCAGAGAAAGCCACTTTTCATTTCTGCTGTATCCCACGAAGCTTACGTAACTGACACTGGAACAGTGTGTCAGTCAGTCCTCTCTTGTGGCCAGTCCACGTCGAGGGGTTTCTAAGTCCACAAACACTTGCAGTGAAAGGACCTGGGTATTTGTTTGATCCTGGCTATCAGCCTAAGCACAAAGCAGCTTCTAAGCTCTGTCCTTGGAATTTGTCCCCTGAAGCACAGGGGACGGTGTTCTTTTGGGGACTTGCAGGGAGGAAGAAGACAAACATGATGGGAAGCAGGACTGTGAGACCATGTTAAAAACAGCGGGTTAATAGGCTCTCCAGCAAAATTTTCTCCTATTTCCATGGGCTTGATGAGGCCCTCAGAGTTGATGGCACATATTCTGAATTAGTAGGTTTTCCCTTCCTCCACCTTCTCTGTAGCAAATGTGGTCTAGTTGCTCTCCAGCAGCCCTACTTGATCCACGATTTTTTTTCCAGCCTTCCCCCTTTTGATGACGAAGTGAGTCACCTGCTTTCCTCCATTGCCTTTGGGTGCTTTCCATCTCATTTTGCATTTTCCCCATGTGTTACAGGAATTCTGCTTTCCCCTGTGGGGGTTTTAGTTTGTCTGCAGTGTGAGCAGCTGAGCAGAGTGACATGGAGGGTTGTTATTTAGAGGGTCATATACTGTCATGATGTAAATCGGTGTAGATTACAGCAAAACTAAATTGTCTTGAATCACTTGATTTGATAACTCAGAAAGTCTGCTCCACTGCAAGATTTTTAAAAAGAAAGTCTGAATTACAGTGTCTGTAACAATATCTACCAGTGATTGTCCTGCTATAAAATGATTCATTTGGGATCTACTAACAAAGTCGAGGTAAGGATTGCCAGAAGCTGACTGACAGTCATTTTTCAAATTCAGCATAATGGCTCGGCTGTCTTCTCTCACACAGGTTTTGATCGTGCGTAACGCAGTCACTGGCTTTGTCCATCACCACTTTCTCTTCCTCTGTCACCTCAATACCATCTTTGAACCTTGTGACTTTGGGCATTGGCTTTGCCTTGAAAGGCACCTTGATGTTTGCTGTATGCTTAGTCTTCACAGTAACCCTGTCTGCAGCAAAAAGCTCGAGGACAGATTCTTCAATAACAGGAGAATCTGGAAAGAACAGAGACATCTGAAAGCTGCAGCTGCAAATGTAGCTTGACATCTTCCCTGAGTCTGCGAGTTCCCGGAAAAGGTGGTCCAAAGCTGGGCCCTTCATACACTCCTTCATGTTTTTAATATAAGAATCCTGTATTTTGTGTAAGTCTTCAGGGACCCTCAAAATCTTCAGCGTGTTTTGATTCAGTTAATTTAGTTCTGTTTCTTGTACAGGGAGCCGGCTGACCTCCTTTAGTTGTTCAGCTCAGCAGAAAAAGAGGGACCTCTGGGAAATAGCAAGCCCCAAAGCTCGTCACTTTCCGAGGGCCTGGAGATTTGATTCCAGGCAGTTTCTAAGTTTTGCAAGGCAAAAGAAGAAGCCCTTTTTGCTGTAAGGCCACACTGGGATCTCTATGATCATGATAAAGACAGTAGAATCAAAGTTAGGTACTGCTTGCAAAGAAAATGATCCCTCATTTGTTACAGAATAATATGGGAAAATGATAAGGATGACCTGCACACAATAAAGAAAAATAACCAGGTTCCTAAACATATTTCCTGTTTTCCCTTTTATTTTTTGTCACATAACACGTATGTTTAGAAATTACAATCTTGTGCTGAAAGTCATAAAAAGTAATTAAAAATTTTTTTTGAATGCAGGAAAACCAATGCTCCCTATTCCAAAGCTTTGCTGTGGTTGGGTTTTTACTGCAACACAGGTATGATAAATATTCGGTACTGCAGCTATAGCATCCTTACAGCTGCGTTTGTCCCACTCTCCGTGTGGCGGTATCTATCCACTTTGCTTTGATTCAGCAGACAGAAAGAGGCTTATTTCCGTGCTGCAGACAAGTCTGCAAGTCCATCTGGCGCCATCTGGCTGCCAAGAGCTGAGTAATACTCATATTTATATATTTCTATATATAATTTCAGAAAAGGTGTTTTTCTTGTTGCTCATGACAACAGTGTTTGAAGTAAAGGCTCAGGCCAAAATTCTTGATCACTGATTTATAAACACAGAAACCTATTCTTAGTCACTTATAATCAACCAGTACAACTGTTCAATTTTCTCCCCTTGGGGAACAAAGAAGCAGAAAGAAGAGGTTTTGCTCAAGCACACAGATAAGCCTGTAAAATGGTGCAGGCCCAGGTAAGGAGACCTGGTGAAGCACAGATTCTGCAAGTGTTTGTGTACACCTAGTAAAGAGCAGTAAGTAGATGGGGTGGCTACCTCCAACGGCAATTGTTGCTCCACTCTCAGCCCCCTTGGCTCTGAATGTCTACCTCCCTTCACGCTCCTCTCGCATTCTGTCAATGACAGGTTTGTGGATGGCTCCCTGCTTCACTACCCGGATCCTCTTCGTGTCAGTAATCTGACAAGAAGACTGAGGCAGGAAACAACCCACATTGCAACAAACACCATCTCCAACCCTGTCCCTGAATCCTCTGATCAGAGTTTCCTGCTCTAAGATGACTAAGCGGTCAGGATTCCTTGCTCCTACTCTGGTAAAATGCTCTGTGATCTATGGACAAAACAAATTCAGTGTTATGTGGACAGAGTGATCTGTGCATCTGCATAGATGAGCCACATGGCATGTAACGAAGGGTGTGCATTTGCATGCAAAGTATACATTTACTGATTACTCTGAAAATCAGAGCCTGGGAGAGGCAGAAGGGTGGGTGGTGAGAAACCAACCTTGTAGGAAAGAATGCAAGTCTACAGGCTGAGAAAATGGGTGAGAAAAATGTAAAAGCATCTTTACAGGAGACCGGGAAAGAAAACTTTGAAAAAGCCAAGATTCAAAGCCAAAACTTAGTAAGACTGAGGCTATAGTAGACTCGGAAAGATTAGATCCATTCTTGTCTGATCTGTCCATCCGTTTGTCCTTAGTCAAAAGCCCTTTATCAAAAACAGGCCAAGCCCTACAGTAGCTATTTGGAGAAAACCTACCACTAGGGTTTTGCAGCCTTTCATTATACTGACAATACCATGGGCATTTTACCTATTTGCTGTCATTGAGCCATATTCCCTCCCCCTTTGCGCCATTCAGGACAACACAGATTTCATCAGGATCCCCAATTAGAACATGAATGCCACACACATGCTCTTCATGGTTACAAATGTCTCTGGAAAGAAGTCGTGGTGGAAGCACATGAACAGAAAAACTGCAGAATAATAGTTGACTGAGCACTTCCAACACCAAGGAGGTATTTAATGGCAGGGAGACCTCATAACAAAATGGACAGGCCCTCAGGACATAAGTGGTTTAGTGAATTGGACATCATGGGAAGCAAGGGGGATGAAGAAAGGCTGTTCCTAACTTTGAAATTCACCTCCAGCCTAAGCTGACAGCATGAAGCTAAGCTTTCCAACTTTTTTTCCTGCTCTTAACAGCCTTGTGTCTTTCCATAAAGATCATAGACTTAAGTTTACAGCATCAACAATGCTACTGCAAAATTAATTCACAAAATAAAAGTGATATTAAATATTTACCAGCCTCATGTTGTGCTGCTGGTCCTCAGCAGACTGCAGTCAAAGGTCCCATGGGTGGCTTTAAAGAATCAGGATAAGAATTCATTAGGACGACCCTGATGAAAATGAAAAACATGGTACACTTTACTAGGCTGGCTTAGGTGACACATGCAAGGACTTAAATGGAAAATTTACTGCTTTACACTTCTACTGCTTTATACAGCAAAGGGAAGTCCTTAATTATTATCTGCATGCTACCGAGAGGGGGCACAGACTAATGGCTTATTCCATGTTAAACAATAAACAGATTGCACAGCAGTGTTATCTCAGATTAGTTTCCTAGCTGTTATAGCAAAGCAGCACTGCTCCTCTGCAGAGTTCACGGAAGAACAGTGTAAAGACTATTATTCCTCTTCTGCTTCCTCTCTTGAGCCATTCACACTTACCTTCCACAGTTACACTGGCACTGCTGTACTGCTCACTAAGGTCACTGTCTTGCATAGCCTACACTTGCTGTGCAACCTCCTGAGTCCCTCAGCTCAGCAGCGTTAATGATAAGCTCTACTCTCTTCCCTTCATGCTTCATGATGTACTGAGGAGACCTCTCAACTGCTTGTCCATTCTACATTCCCTTCAGGGTGACATCTTCAGAAGTCAGCACACACTCCAGACAGGCTCTTCCCTTCTTTGTTACTTGGGTGTTCTCGAGATTGCTGATGAACTGAATTGGGGAAGAGGTTGGCAAGAAAGAATGGCATGTACCAGCAATCACCTTATTAATAAAAACAGGTGGCTTTGCCTTTGTAGGATATAACATGGGTTCCTGTGCAGGAGAGATTCTAGGCTTAGGACTTTACTTCCAGTGTGAAAATGAGGTCTTGGTTGCTTGTCCACAAACTAGCTTTATGAGACTGTGGCTTCCAATTTTTTCAGCCCAAGCTATGGGGCTTTATGTTTCAGCTTTAGGGATTTTGCAGTTCAAACGCTGCTATCTTGCATTTGATCACCCACTGCCCAAAGATGCTTTCGTTGCATCACTTATGATCAATGAAGAGTGGCATGCTCTGAACTACACCTCCAGTCTCAACATGGAGTTCTTCAAAGTCACAGGACAGAACACCCTTAATTTTCATAGCGTGGGCCAATCCATCATCAGATG